GGCTATGAATGTTAGTTCGAACTAACGTCCGTTAGTTCGAACTAACATTGTAGTGTAGACATACCCTCAGATAGGAGGGGACTTACTAAAGCTCACACAGTGAGTCGGTGGCATAGCCGGATATAGAACCCAGAAATACACCAAACCCCAGGTGTTGCCCCAAGATCCATCTTCCCATCCTCTGCAGTAGGATGTCTCAGGTCTTGTCAGTGCATGGAAGTGATACCTTTGGGCATGGAAGCAAAATATAACTGGGGGCTGGAATCTGTCTGGGTTAGGGTGCAGCCGGAGTGACATCAGACAAAGGCTTGTGTTAAAGGTATAATGAAGGATGACTCATCTATTATGGTTTGAGAGAGTTTTAATCCAACACAATCTGGGCTATAATCTTAGGCCAGTGAGGGTCTGTTTGATGCATTGGTTGTCCAGTTTGTGACTCGTGGCACATTGCATTGGGCAGCCAGTTCTCTCAACCCGGGACTGGATCACAGCATGAGTATCAGAGTGGGGCCTAGAAGTGAAGGGCCAGAGCCAGACAGTGGGGTCACATCTAGACTGCAGGCTTCTTTTGGAAGAAGCCTTTTTTGGAAGAGATCTTCCGAAAGAACGAGTCCACACGCAAAAGTGTATCGAAAAATGATCAGCTTTTTCGAAAGAGAGCATCCATCCGCGTGTAAGCTGTGATTGCTATGGACGGAATGGCCACTAGGGCACCTGTGGTTTTTCCGAAAGAACTCCCTCTTCCCTGTCCACATGCCTTTTGCAAAAGCTCTTCTGGAAAAAGGCCTCTTCCTCATAGAATGAGGAATACCAGTGCTGGAACCCCCGCCCCCGTTCTTTTGGTTTTCTTGCAGAAAAATGCAATTGCAGTGTGGACAGTCTTCAAGTTTTCCAAGAAAAACATCCATTTTTCTGACAAAACTCTGTAGCATAGACATATCCTGGGGGAGAGATTTTCTTGCTGAGAAACCAGCCCTTTCCTAATGCTGAATGTCAGGAGATGCCTTTGCGGGGAGGCCACAGGGATGTTAGACGGGTGCTGATGGCAGGGGAGATGTTTGCTGGCCAGTCTGTCTGCTACACTTAGCTCCAGAGGATGGGGAAGTTCCTGGGGTCCTGAACTTGCAGAGGGAAAAAAACATGACAGCTTTGCACAGCTGCAATTATAGCCTTAGCTAGTGGATGGAGGCGTTAATGTGTGAAGAGAAAAAAAAAAGCCAGAGGAGAAGTAACATCTTTTATTGGATCAGCACAGGTCAGATGGAGGTTTTCACTGGGATTGGTGAAAAGTGTGCTCCAGCGGATGGGTGGTGTCTGCCACAGGGAAAGTCTCCAGGGTTTTTTTTAAATGTCTGCTTCAAACGTTAAGAATTGCACATTGTCTCATCACTCCACAGTGGAACCCTGGCAGCACCACTGACATTCCCTGGTGACATTCCCTGTGCAAAGAAGGGGTCTATTTTGTAGGGGTCTGTTGTGCAGCACTGACCTGTGGTGTCTCCCCAACACTCACTCAGAGCCCAACCCCCTCCTCACCTCCTGCTAATAGATGGTCACTGGGGATCTCCCATTGCCTCTTTTCCCAGAAATGCTGCCACTGCCCCCAGGGGTCTCCACCAGCCCCGCAGGCTCAGGCAGGCTCAGTTTGTCCAGCACGAAGGTGATGATGGGCGCAGACACCAGGAGCAGCAGGACCAGGACAGTGCGGGCAGCCCAGATGACGGGGGACATGTTCAGCCCTGCAACACGGAAAGGGCTGTGGTGAGGGCCGTGTGCAAAGCAGCGTGTGGCCCTGCAGGGCCAGCACTAGGCACAGAGCAGCTGCTGTGTAACTGGTCCGGTATGTAAGCTGCCGGAAGCCTCACTCTATGGGGGAATCGTGCTGCAGGGGGCACGTTCCCTGGCTGGGAGGCCTAAGTGATGCAAAGATGGAGGCTTTGCTGGGCTGGGTTCCCATTGCCTGGCCCCATGTACTGTCCTAGAATAAGGGGTCACAGTTGGGGCAGTATGACAGGGAGCCCTCGGCGTGCTTGGCCGTTGCTGACTGGGATTTGTCTAGGGAGCAGCAAACATCTTGGCCTAGCCCTGAGGGCGAATACCTTGGCCTGGGATTATTGTGTCCAATTCTCTCCTCCCCCGGTGTCTGCTTTAATAACCGCCCTGCCCTTGTGCCCCTCTTGTGTCCCAACTCTCCAGCTGGCACAGGGGCAGTTCCAAGCCCAGGCTAAGGGAAGGTCCTAGAGCAGCAGCAGGGAATGGATCGGCCTTTCCTGGGATCACCAGGTGATGGGACCAGCTCTGAACTCCCAGGGGAATTGCTGCTGCTGGCGCAGTTATGCAGAGCCTGTATTGCTCAGCAATGCTGGGCAAAGCCTGAGAGAGCTGCAGGGAGAGAGGGTGCTGCATTGGACACGTACATCCATCCTCAGGGCCATCACACTCAGACTGGGGCTGTCCAGCCAGGACCCACTCTTCCCTAACTAGAGACCCCACAACAGAGAAGCGCTTCAGAAGCATTTACCTGGGGGAGAGGGAATCCTGGCACCACTGCTGGAGTCATCACCTAGGCAACAAACACACCCAGATCAGAGCAGGCCGTGGTCCAGTCCAGGCCCCTATGTTGCTCTACCACAACTGACCACGGGCAGTCACTGGCTGGGGACAGGGATGCTGAAAGACTCTGGACTCTGGGTAGGTCACAAAGTGGATCTGAGTCAACCAGGTGAGTGTGTGTAAGACAGGGGAGGTGTCTGTGCCGCTCTGCTCAGCACTGATGAGGCCTCAGCTGCAGCACAGGGGCCAGTTCTGGGGGTGGCACTTTAGCAAAAAGGGGGAGAAGCTGGGGAGGGTTCAGAGGGGAGCAATAACGCTGAGCAAAGGTTAGTCAATCTGAGCTGGGCGGAGAGGTTAGGAGCACTGGGGCTTGTTTAGAGTTGAGAACAGGAGCCTGAGGGGGCACCTGGGAACGGTCTCTAGGGGTCAGTTGCTCTCAGTGCTCTCTGGGGGTAGGAGAAGCAGGAACCAGCGTAATGTGCAGCAAGGCAGGATGAGGTGAGATCGTGGGGAAAGTTTTCTAGCTCTGAGCTGTGGAATCCCTGCAGAGGCTTAAGAGCCGGTTAGAGAAGCCCTTGTTAGGAAAGGTCCAGACAACACTTGGGGCTGCCCCGAGCGCAGGGGACTGGAGCTACGAGTCTGTGGGTCCAATGGGCGAGTGAAGCCCTGAACAGGCTGTGGAATCCCTGTCACTGGGGTTGATTAAAACAGAAGGGAAAATCCCCTGGCAGGGATGGGCCAGGGGTACTTGGTCCTGCCTCAGGTCAGCGGGCTGGGCCCAAGGGCGTCTCATGGTCCCTTCCAATGAGACTTTTCCATGAGGTCCCCTCCCCCAGAGCTGTCCAGTCCATAGGATGGTTCAGGGAGGCTGCCCCAAGCTCTCC